CTGGGTCAGAGGCCCTTTCTTGTTCCCAGATCTTGGTCTTCAGTTTACCCATTTCTTCTAGCTCACTCCAGGCGCAGCACGCCCTCTGGCCTGTCCCCCACCCTCTCACAGCCACAGGCACCTTCTGGGCCCCTCCGCCAGCCCTGGCTCTCCCTGCTCCCTGCTCCAGCTGCTCCTGCCCTAGATGCTATTTCACTCCTGCTTCTGAAGCCCTGCTGGCTCCCAAACATGACACCCCTGTGATGGGGACTGAGGGTTCCTGGGGGAGAGGTGGTCGTGCAGATGGCTGCCCAGTGTCCTCCCACCTCCCAAAGGCCCCCTAACCAGCTGCCCTCGGGGAGCAAACATTCTCTGACTCCCATACAGCTGCACTCGCTTGGGAGGCAAAAGGCAGCCAGATAAGCCCAGCCCCAAACCCCACACCCTTATCTGTTTGCTTTCACTACACATCCGCCCTTGTATTCAGGACTAGGAGCTGGAAACGTGTGAATGTTTCCCCCAGGATGTTGGAGGTGGGCCCAGCCGCCAGGACCCCAGAGGGTGCCCTGAGCACCTGCTCGAGCCAGGCCTGAGCTGAAGGCTCTGTGGGGTGGGGCAGGGGCGTGGTCCTTCTTGGGGGTGGGTGGGAGGAGGGGTGTGAGGTGGCTCCCCCCAACCATGGGGTTCAGAAGTGCCCTGACCCCGAGTCTGGCATGGTCGAGGACGGGCCAGGTGGGCGCATGCCAGCGTACTTGTCCAAGGCTGCGGGCCGGTAGCTCTCCCTCCTGGGGGTGGGAGGGCCAGAGAGCAATTACCCCCCTGCCCCAGCTAAGCTGCCACCTGATGGGAAGGGCAGCTCGGCCAGGCCCCCATCCTGTGAGGGCTGCCTGGGCACTAGGTGGGTGGCCAGCTCCAGCCCACCCCCACCCCAAGGCTGGAACGCACCAGCTCCCGGGGGCCCCTCCCTGACACCCACCCCTATTGTCTGTGGTTCCCCCATGAGGCCCCAGCACCAGGTGTACATGGACAGAAAGGACCACAGGCCTCTGGTCCAAGGGAGCAGGCAGTGAGCAACCTGCCTGTTCTGGAACTCGGCAGATCCTGGCTGCTCCTTAACTTGCCCTTCCCCCACAGGGTCCCCTCCTGGAGCCACAGACATGATGTTCTGTCCACTCATGGCCACACAATGGGGCTGTGGGCAGCGGTCAGCACAGGGGTGGGGTGGGGGCCAAGTCCAGGGGGAGGGCCTGGAGGGGACTCAGTCTGCATAAGAGTGTCCTGCTCCTGGATGCCAGGGGGTGGGGGGGACAGTGCTGGGGGGGGGAGCCCCAGGGAGCCCCCTGCCCTCAGAGCCCCTGGGCGGGAAGCTGAGAAGGGGCTCAGCAAGGAAAGGGCTCTGGAGGCACCAGGATGAGCCGCACTGCCAGCCCCTGCAGCCACCCTCCCAGGTCATACTCCCCCTCCCCAGGCCCCGAGGCCCCTGGCCTGTGACACATACTTGCCAGTTCCGTTGTTACCTCCAGCAGAGTCAACCCAGCAGCTCAGGGTGGGGGTCTGCAAAGCCAGTGGAGAAGCAGGAGTTGGCCAGGGAGTCAGGGCAGCATTTGATGTGCTGGGGGGATGTGGGGGGTATAACGCACCCGTAGCTCCAGGATCCAAGGGAGGGGTGGCTGCAGGCCCAGGGGGAGGTGGACAAGGTGTCAGGGCTTCACAACACGCTCTGGAGGGAAAACCAGCAGGGTCTGGGGACAGATGGGCTGGCACGTGTGGGAAGGGGCATCAGTGACACATAAGGGCAGGGGAGAGGAGGGGGTCCCTACTGGGACAGGTGGCCAGGCAGCAGCATCCAGGGCTGGCCACTACCCAGCACACACAGGATCTTGGAGGGAGGGGTGGTGGGCAGGTGATTCTCACTCTCAGGCCTGAAGCCCCCTCCCACCACGTCCTCCCAGCCCTCTGTGCCCAGGGTCTCCTGGTTCCTGCCATCTCCCCAGGCGGTGGGCACCCACTGCTGTCCAGCTGCTCCCCGATCCAGCAAGGGGTCAGCTCAGGCTGACCCTGCAGCCCCTCTCAAGACATCAGGAGTCCAGGTCAACGGAAAACCATGACATGCCCCTTTGGCTGCGCAGCCACATGCCGGCCAGTCATCACAGGCTCCTCAGGCCACCAACGGCGCACTCTGTGGAGGGGCCACGGCAGCTGGCCAGGCCGGAGCACGGCTCTGCCGTGAAGGTGCGTCCCCACTCCCACTCCCAGGGTCGAACCCTTTCCCGAAAAGCCACAGCTTGCAGTCCTTTGATCTGATAATCAGTTGCCAAGCCTCAGGGTGTGAAACCTCACCTGTTCCCCCCAAGGGGAAGTCACAGCTGACCAAGGTCAGGCCAGCCAGGCAGGGACAGGGGAGGCAGCGGAAGGGTGGGCAGGGTGGGCTGGACAGCATGTCTACTCTGGTACCACCAGGAACAAGAGTCCCAGCAAACCCAGGGTCCTGGGGCTTCTTGCCAGTGGTGGGAGCCAGGTCTGAGCCAGTTCCAGAACCTTCTGGAGGCACCTGTGGGGAGAATACCAAGGGACTCATCCAGGCCCTTGGGCCCAAGCCAGGGTCTGCTCATGGCTGTCCAGGGGGCCTCAGCCTAGGGGACAGCACCCACCCTCACAATTGAGCCAGGAGGCGGGAGCCCTCTCCTCGCCCTGGACAGTGGCCCTCGGGCCTGCCACACAGACAAATGTGGAGGGCAGAGGTCTCAGCAGGCTGTGAGCACAATCACTCAGTTGTCTGGGCTGCAGCTCCTCTTTCCAAGGCTGGCGCAGGACGCAGGACGCGCTCTTATCACCGAGACTGCTCCAGAACAATGGCCACACACACACCTATCTCAGGGCTGTTTGCTCAGTGCACTCTGGCGCTCCCAGGTCAGGGGGCAAACCATGTTCTGGTGATTTCCCGCCAACCAGTGCATCAGGAGGGAGGGGGACTGGCAGCCACTGGAGCCCTCATCCCACCAGGATGCAGCCCCTGGGTGGTGGCAGGCTGCAGGCCAGGGCCAGCTACTCCTCCTAAGTGCACGCACCCCAGGCAGCCTGAGTGAATAGAGACAGCGGTCTGGAGTGCACAGCTTCTCACGGAAGATTCAACCAAGTCTCACGCATGGCACATGCACACACTTACACATGTGCTCACACGCATACATACGCACATGGGCCTCTTCAGCACAGGCCCTGTGGGCAGCACGCAGGCCGATGGCATCTACCCCCATGCAGGGCACACCTGCATTCCTCCAGCTGCAGGGACTCGCTCTGAGGGGACATCAGGACCCCTGAGCTTCACGGCCACAGCTTCAGGTGGTGGTGGTGGTGGTGGGGTCTCTGCCATTTACAGCTGGGAAATTGAAACCTCAGTGGCCCAGACCCCAAGGCCCTGCAGGCCTGGCAGGGAACAGAACAAGGTCCTCCAGACCTCACCCCAAACTCTACCCCTGCCCCTACATGCGGAGTTTCACGGGACCCCCGTGAGAACCTGAGCTCTCTGAAGGCAGGGAGAGCCCCCCAGGGCAGCCTCACGGTGAAGCCGAGACTGATGGTCAGACAAGCCGGGCCACCCAGCTGACCAGAGATTTTCTATTGAAACAATTTCATGTCTTCTAATTTAAAGCAATTTTATATTAAAACTAAAGACTATTGAAGGTAAAACACGACATCTACTACACTGATCCCAAGTACCTGTGGGGTTCTCTCCTGGGGGTGTGATAGAGGGGGACAGTGACGCTCATCCTTACCTTCACCCTCACCATGACAGTCACCCTCACTCTGAACTTCATCCTCACCCTGACCTTCAACCTCACCCTCACCATGACCTTTAATCTCACCGACCTTCACCTTCACCCTGACCTTCACCGTCACCCTGATCTTCACCCTTGCCCTGACCCTGACCCCTCGAAGCACTGGCATGTGCCTCTCCAGACAAGCCCCACCTGCCCTCCTCCTGCCCCCCATGTTTCCCCACAGGAGCCCTGTCCATCTCCCAGTGGATTGTGGGCAGCAGCTGCTGATCCTCTACCTGAAGGGGGGATGAGCGTGCACACTGGGGGATCCACTGGTGCCCCTCCCCCACAGACCCCCAGGAAGAGCAGCCCCTGAGAGCCGTCCCAACCCTGCTCTGTCCTGGGGACTGCAGCATGACCCCTCCCTCCCCTGCCCCTCCCAAGAGGCCAGGCTGAGGAGGGGTCTCAAGGAAGGAGCTGGCCAGCCCGGGCCTCGGGAACTGCAGGGACACGCGGACATCCTGGGCAGCCCCTCAGGCATCCAGGGAGGAAACCTTTTGAGGAGGGGTCTCAAGGAAGGAGCTGGCCAGCCCGGGCCTCGGGAACTGCAGGGACACGCGCACATCCTGGGCAGCCCCTCAGGCATCCAGGGAGGAAACCTTTGCAGACCCAAGGCCCCACCGTGCATCTGCTCCCCCAACCCCCCTCGGCACAGTCTCTCCCCAGGTGGTCTTTCCTCCCAGGCAGAAAACTTGAGATGAAGTGGTGGGGCCCAGCATGCTGGTGCCTTTAGGAGGACCTGGGGTCCAGGTCAGGGCCAAACTGACCCCAGGAGTTGTGCCAGCACTCTGGGCTCCTGGCCCCTCACATGCCCCTGGGCAAGCCCATCCCAGCTGCCCAGGAGAGTGGCTGATGATGCCCATGCTGACCCAGCAGTGGGGAGGCCCCCAGGACGGCCCCAATGCAGGAGGCATTTGTAGGACCCTGGGGCATGTGTCAGCCCCCCGCTGGGAGTGGGTGATAAAGGGGCCATGGCCACTACAAAATTTTCCTAAGGCGGCCAAATCCTGATAAAGCAGGACCCAAGATCCTGTTTGGCCACCACCGTAGCTGGTCGGAGCTGGAGCGTGGGGTGCAGGTGGGTGTGGCAGGGGCAGGGCCTGCCACCTCTACATAAGGTGCCTGGACTGGGCACTCGAGTCACAAAGGTGGCAGAGGCAGGACTGCTCGGCAGCAACCTCTCTTCTGCACACGGGTGGCACCATGCTGGGGCTCTGGCTGCTGGTTCTGCTGTCCTGTGGGCGAACCCTGCTCAGCGATGGTGAGTGGGGGCCTGCCAGGCCATGTCCGAGGGGTGGCCAGACACTCTGATGACCTCAGAGGGCCCCTGTGCAACAGAAAGTCTACAGGCCTTCCTTCTTGCTTGGCTGATGGCTGGAGGCGGGCTGGCCCATGCGGACATTTATGAATGGGAGGCGAGAGGCAGGCTGGCCTGGGAGGCCCTTCCTCAGCTCTGTGACTGTCCCACGCTGCCCAGGCTGAGTCTCCATCCACAGCCTCAGAACCTGGCTCTGCCAGTTTGGGTCAGGGTCTGGGAGGAGTCCGGCTGGAGACGCTCGCTGGCCCCTCCCCGTGGGGCCACAGAGCTGGGGACCCAGTCCTTCTGCTCCACCCTGCCTGGCCCCTGCAAGCTGGGCACAATGGCCAGGGAAGGAGGATGCTCAACTAGAGCAGGGGCTGAGTCCCTTGAGCACAGCAGAACCCAGGTGTGCTTGGCCCCCAGTACTGGCACTCTCGCTGTCTCAGGGCCACAAGTTCCTCCAGCCCTGGACATGCTGGGAGCCTTGTGGGCATTAGACTGAAACCCTTAGGGGACACATGGCCCCATCAAGTCCTGACTATGAATAGGATGAGCCACAAAGTGGGGTGCAGGCCTCAGCTTCCACATCTGTAAGAGTGGGAACAATGTCTCCCCCTCAAGTGGGCACCATGAGGATTAAAAAAGGGGACAGTGTAGGGCTGACCACCCCCCCAGAACTCCCCATCCTCTTGGACCTTCCTTGGGCAGAGCTAATGCCCTGGACCTTCTGCCAACCACCTGCCCAAGGACCAGAGGCAGGCAGCCATTGTTCGTGCCCCTGCCCTAGAAGGGGCCAGCCTCAAGGGGTCCCACTGTGGCCACAGGTGAGGCCCCAGGGATGTTCCTCCTTGCTGACCCAGGCACAGACCCGCTGGTGATGCCATCCTGTGCCCAGGCCTCTGTGCTCCCCTTTATCATAGCCCTCCACCTGCTGCCCCCATCAGCAGCTCAGGAGACCCCTTGGGGGAAAATGGCTAGATGGGGCACAGCCCTGAGGCTGCCGCCCAGTCTGGGGGCTGAGATGCTGGGTGGGCCTGGACTCAGAGTGAGCATGACCCCCACAGTCAGCCAGCTGTCCCCCCAGCCTGCCCCACCGCCACCACGCCAGGCACCTCCCATCACACGAGGGGCCACTCTGAGCCCCAACCAGTGACACCGTCACATCGGGGCTCTTGGGACCTCTTGCCTGGCCCCGTGCCTACCCCCACTGCACACCTGGCACAGGGCTCAGGAGCTGCTGGCAGGAAGAGGGGAGGGGCCGACCTCACATTAGAGCTGGACCCTGGATCCCTCAGGCCCAGAACCAGGGAGGGAGAGGCGCTGGGGCGGGCCTGGGGGTGTGGGGGTGTGGGGCGCTGTTGGTCTGGGCTGTGAGGGCTGCAGAGGGTGGAAGGCCAGGCTGGGGGTGTCTGTCCCTCACGTCAGCAAGCACTCTCTGTGGGCGCAGAAGGAAGGCAGAGGCCGGCCAGCACATGAGGTCAGATGGCAGGGATGTGTGGGACCTGGGGCCACAAGGCTGGGAAGGAGGCCCCTAGCCAACGGGGTTGACCCAGAGGGTGGGGGCAGGCAGGACCGCCAAGCATTCCAAAAAACAGCCAGTGCACCAGACATCGTGTAGCCATCCAGGGGCAGAGAAAGGCTGGGGGTGGTGTAGGAGCCACTCAGGAGGCCCCAGCTGAGGGACCAGTCAACAGGAAGTCAGCCGGTCTGGGCAGGAGGGCACAGTGCCGTTGGCCTCTGGGCGTCTTCAAAGGAGGATCCAGGAGGCAGCTGGATGCAGTGAGGCTGGCACCTGGGTGACAGGCAATGCGGAGGAGCTCGCTGGGGGAGGGGGTGCCACCTGTGAGTGGGAGTGGGGGAAAGGGCCCAGGCATGGATCTGCAGTATCCATGCCACACAGCGTAGGTCTGGTGGGGAAGATGACTCCTAAGTGTCATCGTCCCATCTGAAAGGTGGAAAAACTGAGTCACAGAGGGTCTTGCCTAGGAGCAAGTGGTCAAGACTCTGCCTCCACCAGAGGTGCTGGCCCAGGGGCCGGTTGTGACTAGCTCCCTCCTCCCCAACCAGAGGCAGGTCACAGCTGGCAGGGGAGCTCCTGAAGGAGAGGCCAGAAGCTGGGACCCTGAGAAGGGGGATGGGGAGGAGCAGGCACGTGCTTGGGCACATGCCTAGCATGAGCCCCACCCCCGCTCCAGTGGGGGACAAACACGGTATGGTATAAGCCAGGTGCAGCAGAAAACAGTCTCAAGGTCATAGGAGACACAGCCGAACGGGTTGACCCATGGCCAAGGGCACCATCTTCTTTTTTTTTTTTTTTTTTTTTTTTTTTTTTTTTTTTTTTCCGTGTCCGGCAACGGATCGCAACCCTCAGTGTTGCCCCCGTACCGGACCGGGGACCGGCAACGGGATTGCAAACCTCGGCGTTGCTCCCGCGCCTCGCTCAGCCAGTGAGCGGGAGCCGGTCTGTATGTGGGATCCGAACCCTCGGACGGGAGCGCCAGCCGCGCTTCCCAAGCGGCGCACTATCCAGTGCGCCACCGGGCCAGCCCAGGGCACCATCTTCTTAAACCCAGTCACTCAAACACCTGGAGCTCCCGCCCATGCCAGAGAGAAAGACTCACACTGGGCCTGCTGTGGGTCCTGAGTCCTGAGGGATCAAATAGATGCTGTAGCTCGGTTTTCTCCTCAACCCTGAGCAACACAACCCCTCAGCCAGCATGCCCCTGCTCCCTGGTGTCGCCCAGAGACACACAACGCTCTGGTGCTGGCCCCTGAGCTGCGTCTTAAGGGAGGCACCACGTGCCCAGATGATGGCAGGGTGTGAGCAACACCAGATGGAGACCCGAGAGGGGTCACCTGCCCAGTCAGCCACCGGACATCAGTGCAGGCCCACAGGGGCCGCAGGAAAGGCGGGAGCCTGGGAGGCAGGGGTCAGGTTTGGAGAAGTTTCCAGAAGCCCTCCTCTGGATATGGGAGAGGAAGGGCAGGAGCAGGCAGGGAAGGGCTTGCCCCACCCAAGCCTCCAGGAGCCTGGGCAGCACCCTCTTCTGCTGCCCTGCCCTGAGGTCGCCATGACCGATGCTATCTGGGCATTTCTCTGGCAATGGTCACCAGGACCTGGGTCAGTCTCAGGACATGATGCCAGGCTGTCAGACAGGAGAGAAGCAGAAAAATGGGCACATTTAAGGTCCCAGTGCTGGCCAAGAGCAGGGAGAACCTACCGTGGGGCCTTAGCAGAGCCAGTGCAGACCCCACAGGGAAACCACATGGCTGAGCTGGGAATGCATGGGGTGTGGCAAGCAGAGGGGACAGGGGACAGGCCAGATCTGCCGGCTCAGTCCCCCAGCACACCCTACACCCACCCCCTTCTCACCTCAACCAGGGGGCCACGCAGGAGCCTGGCTCCCAGCCACCCAGCCCAGCATGCCACAGTTTGGCAGGTTCCCGCTGGGCCATTACCGCACTTAGGGCCCAGCACGTCTGGGGGAAGTGAGTGACTGGAGCCGCACACAGGCAAGCAGTGTCTCGCGACTCCACCCCCAGCACCTCCTGTTTCCCAAGGGAGATCCCTCAGCTGGCTTCCAGTGTCCCCAGGCTCTCTGTCCCCATCACATGCAGCCCCTTTCCTGTGAATGGCAGCATCCCGCTCACCACCCTTCTGCAGCGTGTGTGTGTGCCTTCGTGGAGTGGGGTTCTCCCTGTGCACTCCAGCATACAACAGCAGCTCCGTGCACACTTGCTGAACTGGTGACCCAAAGAAGATGTGAGCGTGGCGTGGGCCATGCATGCAGCACTGATGCGGGCAGTTGCTCTGAGGGCAGGGCCGTGAGGGTCAAGCACAAGGCAGCCCTTGAGCAGAGGTGGCCTAAGCCGTCAGGGACGACGATGGGGTGGTCCTGGCGCTGACCACGGTCCTGTCCATGCAGGTCTGGACGACCCCTCCTTTGCCAACCCAGGCTTCAGTGGGCTAAAGGACACTCCAGAGAGATGAGGGCCACTGTCCTGCTGCCCAGAGTCCCCAGGGCCCAGTGTGCATGAGGGAGGGGTCTGGAGCCCAGGCCACGCCCAAGAGAAGCGCACGTGGGCAACGGCACCGGGTTCACCGGTGCCTGTGGCCTGGGCTCCCATGAGAGGGACCCAGCTACAGAAGGGCCATAGAAGGCCTCTGCCCAGGGGAAACAGGACTGCTTGCCAGGCGGCGACCTCTGCCAGGGAGGGGAGACTGGGCTGCAGCTTTGTGTCTGACAGTCCCCAGGGCTGGTGATGCCACAGGCCCTGCCAGAACAGCAGCTTGCACTCCTGTAAGGCCCAGGGCAGGAGGCAGACCCCAGCCCAGAGCTGGATGGGTGTGGGGGGTGGGGGAGGCCAGGCCTCTGCTGGGCAGGTCCTCTTTCCCACCCACGCCAGAAGACTTCCCAGTTCTCTCCCAGTGCGAGCTTCCCGGGGTCCCAGCTCATGCGCCAGGCCACCCTAGACCTGCCCTGCTCGTCAGCAGGACTGGGCCACTCTCTCCACAGACCTGGACAAGGGCTGGTGCTCCACTTGGGGGGCCGGCCACTTCTCCACCTTCGACCGCCACATGTACGACTTCTCGGGGACGTGCAACTACATCTTCGCAGCCAGCTGCCAGGATGCCTCACCCACCTTCAGCATCCAGCTGCGGCGAGGCCCTGATGGGAACATCTCCCGGATCATCGTGGAGCTGGGGGCCTCTGTGGTCACCGTGAATGAGGCGACTACCTCCATCAAGGATGTTGGGTAGGCCGCACGGGCTGGGCTGGGCTGGGTGGGCAGCCAGGATGAAGGCCAGATACTGACTACTCCTGCCCCACAGGGTCGTCAGCCTGCCCTACACCGGCAACGGGCTGCAGGTCATGCCTTTTGGCCAGGGTGTGCAGCTGGTGGCCAAGCAGCTGGAGCTGGAGCTGGAGGTCCTGTGGGGCCCAGATGCCCACCTCATGGTGAGGACGGTGGGGGCCAGGCTGGGCCTGGAGACCTGTGGCAGAGCTGGGGGAATGAGTAGGGCCCTGGAGAAGCTGCCTTCCTTGGGACAAGGGTCCTGGAACAGAAGTGAGTGGCCTCTATAGCTGGGCAGGGGTCCTGGGGCACAAGGAGCCTCGGTGCCCAGCAGTGCCCACCCGCCCACAGGTCCTGGTGGAGCAGAAGTACATGGGCCAGGTGTGCGGGCTATGCGGGAACTTCGACGGGAAGGACACCAACGAGTTTCTTAGCGAAGATGGTAGGTGGTGGGGGTAGGGCTGGGGTCCCAGTCTCTCTGTGGCCTGGCCCCACTGTATGACCCCATGCCCTGTGCCCCCAGGCGAACTCCTAGAGCTGCACAAGTATGCTGCCCTCCAGAAGCTGGATGACCCCAATGAGATCTGTGTCTACCAGGCCATCCCCAACCCCACAGTCCTGCAGGACCAGCACGTACGTGAGCCCACGGCGGGCTGACCCAAGGGTCCGGTGGGGTCTCCGAGGCCAATGATGGCTCCACCTAGCCTGCCAAGTCACCGGCATGGGGTGGACGTGGCCAGGGCCCCCATGATCCCATGTGCCCCTCCGCCCAGGCTGAAATCTGCGCCCAGCTGCTGACCCTAGTGTCGTCTGAGTGTGACGTGCCCAAGGAGCCGTTTGTGAGGAGCTGCCAGGCAGACATGGCCACGTGCACCCACCCGGACCAGCACAACTGCAGCTGCGCCACGCTGTCCGAGTACTCCCGCCAGTGCAGCATGGATGATGAGCCCGTCAGCAGCTGGCGGAGCCCCAGCCTCTGCTGTGAGTCCCCAAAGCCTGGCAGGGAGGGCAGCTAGTAGGCCCAGGGCCCCAGACCCAGGTCTCCTAGATCCAGTGCCACCTGATGTGAACTCAAATCCCCGTCTGTGATACAGGAGACCCTGACGGCTCTTCTGGGAGGAGGAGAGGCTAGGCTAAGTCTTGCCTAGGCAGGGTGGGGCAGGGCCCTCTCACTAAAGCCATGTGTGCCCACAGCCGTGGGCCAGTGCCCAGCCACCCAGGTGTACCAGGAGTGCGGTGCGGCCTGCGCCAAGACCTGCTCCAACCCGCAGCACAGCTGCTCCAGCTTCTGCACCTTTGGCTGCTTTTGCCCGGAAGGTGAGGGTGGACGCCAGCACCCAACCTTCCCTGGGATGCCAGACCCCACTCCCACCTGGCTCACCCCAGGGCTCAAGCCTACCACGTCCAGCCCCACAGCCATGAAGGCAAACCCACGGGACTGAGGCGGTGCCCACTGGGGTGCCTGAGAGCCTCCGGGAGGAGGTGGGATTTGAGCTGGGCCTGAGGGGCAGTTTCGCACTGGTGACACTAGCCAGGGGCCTGCCACTCACCATGAACGGCCCCTGGGTCTAGGCTCATTGGCACAAGGGCTGGTGGGATGCCCAGGGGTGCTCCAGCAGCTGCAAATGCCAGGGGACTGGAGCAAGAAGTCACAGCCGAGGCTCAACGAGGGTGTCTTCCCGGAGCCAGGCACAGGGGAGGAGAGAGAGCCTGTGCCTGCCCTAGCTGCCCACACAGCACAGCCAGGGAGGGGCTTCCCAGCAGGGGGTGGGAGGTGGCCAGTCCCACCCAGGCCCCAGGAAGCCCCTCTCCTGCAGGTACGGTCCTTAATGACCTCTCCAAAAACCACACCTGCGTGCCAGTCGCCCAGTGCCCCTGCATGCTCAACGGGGCAGTCTATGCCCCCGGGGAGGTCACCATGGCCGCCTGCCAAACCTGGTGAGTACAGAGGACGAGAGGGGACTCTGGCCAGCAGGCAGTGAGGCGGGGGGGCTCAGCCCTACAGGCAGGAGGGGAGGGTGCTGCTTGGGGTCACCCTCATGCCCACCCGCAGCCAGTGCACCATGGGCCGCTGGACATGCACAGAGCGGCCATGCCCCGGCCACTGCTCCCTGGAAGGCGGATCCTTCGTCACCACGTTCGACGCCAGGCCCTACCGCTTCCATGGAACCTGCACCTACATCCTCCTCCAGGTAGGATGAGCTGAGGCCGGCAGGGAGTGGGCACCCCAGCCCCTCAGTGCCTGAGCCTCCACTCTCTTCCCCAGAGCCCCCAGCTCCCCCACGAGGGTACCCTCATGGCTGTGTATGGCAAGTCAGGTTACTCCCACTCGGAGACCTCCCTAGTGGCTGTCATCTACCTGTCCAGTGAGGTAAGGCCTTCCTGCACTTCCCCGAGCAGGTGCCGTGGTCGTTCCCACCAGCAGGGCCCCACACGTCCAGTACCTTCCCCACTCCTGCCCCCCTGACTCAGACCACCCTCCCTCCAGGACAAAATCATGATCTCTCAGGACGGGGTGATCACAGACAACGGAGACACTAAGTGGTTGCCGTACAAGACCGGTGGGTCCCCAGCCCCTGCCCAGCACCAACGGCCTCGCTGATGTGGGTCTCCAGGTGGGCCCTCAGAGGGCGGGTAGGGCCCAAACAGCCCACTCAGTGCCTCATCCTTGCAGGCAACATCACGGTCTTCAGGCAGACGTCCACCCATCTGCAGATGGCCACCACCTTTGGGCTGGAGCTCGTGATACAGCTGCAACCCATCTTCCAGGTGTACATCACTGTTGGGCCCCAATTCAGGGACCAGACCCGAGGTGAGCCTCTGCCCCACCGGTCACGCCCAGGGTTGGCCTGGCTGCCTTGCCCAGGGGAGAAGGGGCCCAAGAGGGGCTGACCCCCATGGCCAGGGAGCTCATGGCCCCCAGTACCCCTGGGTATGGCCAAGTGTGTCTAGGGAAGGCCTCTCACCCTGGCACAGTTAGAGAGAGGAGAGGCACTTTGGGGCGTGTGGGGCAGGTCAGGGCTCAGGCCTTCACGAGCCAGCCCTCTCAGGGCTCTGCGGCAACTTCAACGGGGACACAACCGACGACTTCACAACCAGCGTGGGCATCACCGAAGGCACGGCCTCACTGTTTGTGGACTCCTGGCGGGCGGGGAACTGCCCAGCTGCCCTGGAGCGTGAGACCGACCCCTGCTCCATGAGCCAGCTCAACAGTGAGTGTTGCCTGCCTTCCTGCAGCTCTGATGGCCCCATGGACCCAGTGCAGGCCCAGAGGCCAGGGTACAGGGGTTGGGGTGGGGTTTCTGGGAGGGGATGGGAGACCCACACTGGGCCTGTTGCCCCAGAGGTGTGCTCAGAGACCCACTGCTCAGTGCTACTGAAGAAGGGCGCCGTGTTCGAGAAGTGCCACGCCACGGTGGACCCCAAGCCCTTCTACAAGGTGGGGGTACAGGTGTTTGGGGAGGGCAAGGGGAAGCCGTGGTGGCCGACGCAGTCTTGGGCACCATGGAGGCCCTGTCCTGGGCGGAGCGTTTGGGGCTCCCCGTGTCCCCGGGGAAGGTGGGAGCCCCACGGCCAGCCCACGACCAGCACTCTGCCCGCAGAGGTGTGTGTACCAGGCCTGCAACTACGAGGAGACATTCCCCCACATCTGTGCGGCCCTGGGCAACTACGCACGTGCCTGCTCCTTGCGGGGTGTACTGCTCTGGGGCTGGAGAAACAGCGTGGACAACTGCAGTGAGTGTCCACCAGGGCAGGGGGCAGGAGTCACAAGGGGGGGGGGTCTCAGGGCCCCAAGATCTTCCTGGCTGTCCCACTGCCCAGCCAGCCAGCAGCACAGTCCCGAGCCCCCACCCCTCCCTGGTCACCCTCTCCCGAGGGCCTGACTCCTGGGTCCCCCGCAGCCGTCCCTTGCACAGGCAACTGCACATTCAGCTACAACAGCCAGGCCTGTGACCGCACCTGCCTGTCACTGTCCCACCCTGAGGCTGAGTGCCACCCCAGCGCAGTCCCTGTGGATGGCTGCAACTGCCCCGAAGGCACCTACCTGGACCACAGGGACGAGTGTGTTCACAAGGCCCAGTGCCCCTGTGTGCTGGAGGACGGCAAGTTCATCCTGCCTCAGCAGTCTACTGTGGTCAAAGGCGTCATCTGGTGAGGGGACCTGGGCCAGGTGGGGGAGGGGTCTCTGCCCCACGGCTGGCAGGCCTGACTCAGCCTCTCTCCTGTAGCTACTGCATCAATGGGCAGCTGAGCTGCCGCGGGCAGCCGCAGACACTCTTGGGTGCGTATAGCAGCTGGTGGACTGGGACCGTGAGGTGTCCTCAGCCCCCTCTGAGCCCACCTGACATCCCCCAATCCCCACGCCCTCCTCTTCCCTGCAGCTTCCTGCTCAGCTCCCAAGACGTTTCAGTCCTGCGGCCAGTCTTCGGAAAACAAGTTTGCTGCGGCCTGCGCCCCCACGTGCCAGATGCTGGCCACTGGCATCACCTGCGTAAGGGGCACCAGTGAGGAGCAGGGACACTCCCTGAGCCCCTTGCTGGGTCTCGAGGGGATTGCTGCAGGTCCCTGGGACAACAGGGTGCTGTGTCAGCCACATGCTGTCCCCATCCATCCCGGAGGCTGGTGCTGCTGGGGACTTGGGCAGCCAGGAGGTGCCCTGTGGCCGGCGGCAGCAGGCGACTGCTCATCTAGGGGGTTCTGTGAGGACAGCAGACCAGCCTGATACTGGGGGAGGGTCTGCCTCCCATGCATGGAGGGTGGGGAGCACATAGGAACTGGAACCTTCCCTTAGGGAGGGGGCGGCTTTGCTGAGAAAAGCCCAGCTGCCCACGAGACCCTAGAGCAGGGGAGGGCCTAGGAAAATGCAGGGGGAGGATCTCAGAAGGGCCCGGGGCTGGGGCAGTGTGGGCTGAGGCTACCCTCCAGGGGCTGCTTCCTACGCTTCCCTCCAGGTGCCCACCAAGTGTGAACCTGGCTGTGTCTGTGCCAAGGGGCTCTATGAGAATGCCAATGGGCAGTGTGTGCCCCCCGAAGAGTGCCCATGCGAGTTTGCAGGGGTCTCCTACCCCGGGGGAGCCGAGCTCCACACTGACTGTAAGACCTGGTAAGCCACAGCCTCATCCTGGCCACCCTGGGATGCCTGGGGGGCTCTCTGGGGCATGTAGGGGCCACCTGCAGATGGGGGTTTCTGGAGGTGGGGGTGCCTGGAGGTGGGGGTTCCAGAGGTGGGACTGCCTGGAGGTGGGGTCCCAGAGGTGGGGTTTACAGAGGTGGGGGTGCCTGGAGATGTGGCCTGGGCCCCTGGGAACCCCAGGGACAACACCCAGTATGGGAGGGTGTGGCCCTACCACCCCACCGTGGCTCTCCCCAGCACCTGCTCAAGGGGGAAGTGGACATGCCTGCAGAGCGCCCACTGTCCCTCCACCTGCACCCTCTACGGGGAGGGCCATGTGGTCACCTTCGACGGGCAGCGCTTTGTGTTTGACGGCACCTGCGAGTACATCCTGGCCACGGTAGCCACCTGGGGCAGGGGGCTGCAGGGAGCCAGGGCACAAGGGTGGCTTCCAGGGCTCCTCCTGAGCACCCCCTCCCTGCAGGACGGCTGTGGCGCTAACAACTCCCAGTCCACCTTCAAGATCATGACAGAGAACGTCATCTGTGGGAAGTTGGGGGTCACATGCTCCCGGGCCATCAAGATCTTCCTGGGGGTGAGCATGGCCCTGGTGGGGTGGGGTGGGGGGTGCCGTGGGCCCTGCCATGCAGCTGAACCCTCCCCACTCACCCCCTTATCTGTGCAACGGGCATGGATGGAGGTGCCCGTCGCCCCTTCTTGGCAGAGACTATCACCAACCGGGCATTTTCACACTCAGGACTGGTGGCCGTGAGACCTCCGCCAGGTTCCGGGACTGAGAGCATCTCCCGGACAGAAGGGAGGGGGCCCTCTGGAAAGCCTGAGTTTCAGCCCTTAGCTGTTCCAGAATTTTGTGCCCAGAGCCGGTTCTCAGCAGATGCCCTGCCCATGTGTCCTTGACAGACGTGGTCAGACCTACCTCAAAGGGCTCGGTCCGGCCACAGGATGGCCAGCTGCCCAGGGACAGGGGGCATGAGAGAGAGGCAGCCCACTGACAGCCCCACCCCTCCAGGGCCTTTCCATCATGCTGGCGAGCAGAAACTACACAGTCAGCGGGGAGGACCCCCGTGTGCAGTTCCGGGTGAAGCCCGGCTCCCTGAACCTGGTTCTAGACATCAGCATCCCAGGAAAGTACAGCCTGACGCTCATCTGGAACAGGCACATGACCCTCTTCATCAAGGTCACTCGCGCCTCCCAGGTACCTGCCCATGCCCAGTCTGGCCTGGGGGCGGGCAGGTGCTGAGGCCAGCCAGCACCCCACTGACAACACCCGCTGCAGGACGCCCTCTGTGGCTTGTGCGGCAACCACAATGGGAACATGAAGGATGACTTTGAGACGCGCAGCAAGTATGTGGCATCCAGCGAGCTGGAGTTTGTGAACTCGTGGAAGGAGAGCCCGCTGTGCGGGGACGTGAGCTTTGTGGCAGAGCCCTGCAGCCTCAATGCCTTCCGCCGCTCTTGGGCAGAGCGCAAGTGCGGCATCATCAACAGCCAGACCTTCGCCACCTGCCACGGCAAGGTGGGCGCCGCCTGGGACAGGCCAGTGCCATGGGTCATCCCCCAAACCTCCTGTGGTCAGGGGTGCCAGGCCCTGCCCCAGTCCCAGATGGGGAAGCAAGACAAGGCTCTTCCACTGTGGGGCTCAGGGACTGGCCAGGGAAACCGGTGGTGGAGAGAGAGGTTGAGACCAGTGGTCCCACCAGCTCTGATGCTGTAGGAAGTTCAGCAGCACCCTTGGCCTCCGCCCACCAGATGCCTGCAACATCCCCCCTGACAGTGCCCCAAGTCCCCTGGGGGGCAGCACCACTCCAGTGGAACCCCGCCCTAGGGCGAGTGGTCAGCAGAGGAGACACTCAAGAGTGTGAGGCCCGGCTCTGCCCGGGGCCTGTGCTCCTGGCCCTCAAGCTCCTAGAATGGCCCCTGATTCCTGGGACTCAGAGAGGACTGAGAAGAGGAAGTGCCCCGAGTAGATGGGGGAGAGTACCATGCAGCAGCACAGACAGTGCAAAGACCCTGAGGCAGGGAGTGGCATGGAGTGTGCTGCCAGGATCTCATCACCGTGAGCACAGGGGAACGGGAGGCCCTAGAGGGCTGGTGTGCTGGCCAGAGGAGCTGCAGTGGCTGTGGTTAGTGGCACCTTGGCCCCAGTGAGTATGGGTCAGGATCTGGGGACGTGAGTACGGGTCAGGATCCTCCGTGGCAGCCCTCAACTGAGGGCCACCAGCACCAGCTTCCAGAGACTGGTCAGTGGTCAGGGCTGTGGTTCCCACGTGGTGGTCGCTCACACGGTGCAGTGTGGGGGGTGCTGCCACCACACACTGACCAGCGCCTGCTCCCGCAGGTGTACCGCATGCCCTACTACGAGGCCTGCGTGCGTGACACTTGTGGGTGTGACGAAGGTGGGGACTGCGAGTGTCTGTGCGATGCTGTGGCTGCCTACGCCAAGGCCTGCCTGGACAAGGGCGTGTGCGTGGACTGGAGGGCCCCAGACTTCTGCCGTGAGTGTCCTGCCCCCGCCCCAGCCACCCACAACCCAACTTCCCCCGCCAGGCTCAGGATCCCAGCTGTGTGCAGGTGGAGGGCCTCTGCTGCGCCAGGGCGAGGGCCAGCATCCACTGATGGGCTCCCTTCCTCCCAGCGATCTACTGCGACTTCTACAACACCCACACGAGGGTGGGCAGCGGCCAGTACCAGTACGTGCAGGAGGCCAACTGCACCTGGCACTACCAGCCGTGTCTCTGCCCCGGCCAGCTGCTGAGCATCCCGGACACCAACATGGAAGGTACCGGGTGGCAGGGACGCAGCACAGGGCCGCACAGGGGCAAGCACCCAGTCACTCATTTACACGTGTGTTGACTCACTCACTCAGCACATGTATCCTGAGCACCTCTGAGCCCCAGGCTGGGTTCTGGGTTAGGGACATGGCTTTACAGAAAACAAATGGCCCTGCCCTCCAGGAGCTTTCCTCCCAGCAGGGGAGAGGTGCTTGGAAACAGGACAAGGGAGAAAAGCAGTGTTGAGTGACGTCTACATATCAGGGGAAATGGGGCAGGGGTCTCAGAGAGAGAGAAATGGGGACTGCCTTGTTCAACAGGGCAGGCAGGATGGCCTCAGGGAGGTAGACAGTTGGGCCAGGACTCAAGGAGTTGAGGGGGCCAGGAAGGCACCATGCAGGGAACAGCCAGGCCAGGCCCTGAGGCATGGTGGGCCTTGTGCCAAGGAACCTGCAGGGAGCCGGATGCAGAGAGAGTGAGGGGGTGTGGGGGCAGGAGCAGCAGAGGGCGTGGGCAGCATGCAACAGGGTCTGCAGGGCCGTGTCCCTGCTCCCCGCTCCAAGGCAGAGGTGTGAGCATGCGATGGACCTGGGTTTAACAGGCTGGGTGGAGAGGAAGCTGGAGGAGGGTCAGGACGGGGCAGAGTGACCACAAGGCTGCCACACAGTGATCACATAGTGACCAGGGAAGACCTGGAGGTGGCTTTGACCCCTGGAACATCAGGATGTGCTGACGGGTAGATGCACTGGGTTCCAGGAGGACAGTGCAGGGCACAGGGATGGGACGAGAAGCCTGTGGCAGGCTTACAGCATGTCCAACTTAGCCTGGAGGAGACAGAAGAGGGCCTGCGTCGGGGGTCCAGAGGGTAGCACTGAAGTCCAGCACTGGCTGGGTCAGTGGGGGGTGGATGTGTACACAGAAGTGGGGACCGAGGCCTGCAGGAGGCCTAGGTGGAAAAACGGAATCATCAGGGCCATGAAGGGGCAAGTTAGGCCACTGTTTCTGATGGGCCCAGGACAGGAGGTCAGAGGTGTGGGGTATAACAAGGCTGGCATGAGGCAGAGAGGAGGGGGCAAGTCAAGAGGCAGGGCATGCAGCGGGGAGCACAACAGGCATAGCCAGTCTGGCCAGAAGGGAGAGGCCACCTGTGTGAGGGGCTCGCTGAGCCTGGCCACTGTCCACCCAGGCTGCTACAACTGCTCCCAAGATGAGTACTTTGACCATGATGCGGGGATGTGTGTGCCATGTGGTAAGTCCAGTCAGCAACCCCCCAGGCCCCACCTCCAGCAGTCTGGGCCTCATCCTCATGCAGGCAGAAAGCACTTCTGCATCCTGCAAACGTGGAAGAGGCCCCTTGGTGCACCAAGCCCCAGCACCCCACTGCCCAGGACCCTGTGCCCTTGCAGTGCTGACCCCCAGAGACGGGCAACCTCCTCAGCCTGACAGCAGCGACAGAGAAAACAGCACAAAGCCCAATTCCAGGCCCTCCCTCCCCAACCCCCCCGCCCCAGCCCACAGCCTCACGGCAGGGTCCCCCAGGCCTGCCAGGGTTTCTGGGGCATAGGTGGGCCCCCCAGGAATCCAGCTCCAGGCACATGGAGAGACACTGCCCAGCAGCTCACACAGGGCCACCACACCCTGGCAGGCCCCTCCCCTCCCAGACAGGCCTGACAACAGAGGGAGGGGGAGAGGAGGGCTGACCACTCCCTCTGCTGAGGGCTCCAAGTCCCTCCACCCTGCCCTGGGTGAGTATCTCAGGTCCTGTGAAGGGTCCTGGAGGCCCCTGTGGCTGAGGCCAGTGGGTAACTGACCACCACTCCCTTTGCAGAGCTACCAGCCACGGCATCGCCACTGCTATCCACCCCAGGTGATTGCTTGCATGCTAGGTACTGAGGTGATGCGGGCTCTACCTGGTCTCTCCCCTGGCTCCACTGGCCAGTACCCAATCAGCCTAGCCTCAGTGTCTATCGGCAGGGGGAGGGAAGCTGGCAGGGAGGGGAAAGGGAAGTCAGAGGTGGGAAGGACAAAGCCTAGCTCCTGGCCTACTGATGGCTGGCCCACCACAGCCCATGCTACACCTGCCACTGAGCACAAAGTGGGACCACAAGTGAGCCAACCCCCATGCAGAAGGTCCTGCCAGGAGCCCACGCCATGGGGGCTGCAAAGCTTAGGGGGGCCAGCAGGCCGAAAGTGGACTCCTCCCAAACACTGTGCCAGGGCTGTCCCTCCATCCCACAATGCTGCATCTGTCCCACTCAGGCTTGCCACCCAAAGAGGCACAGCCCATCATGGCAACCCCCAACACCACTGGGCTCCTCAGGTCCACTGGATCCTCACCCAGCTCCCCACCCACATCTGCGGGCCCCACCCACTCACTCTATCTTCCAGACCTGGCCCCTTCCTCCATACAGGCAGGGACAGCCTTGACCACACAGAGCAAGTCCACAGTCTCCTCGGGAGGTAACGTGCACCCCTGCCGGGGCCCACGTCCCCCTGCTGAGGCCACAGAAAACACATGCAGCCCTGGGGCTCCAGGGCAGGGAGGGCCAAAGACAAGTCACAAAGTGTGGCCACTCCTTGTTGTCTGACTCCGTCACTAAAAAACGTGTGGGGCCTGACAGCCTTCCCCCGGCAGCACCCCTCACACAGCAGCACCCCCATACGCGGCCAGGGACCAGTGGAGAGACAGGACGTAGGTCCACTCAGCTGACCAACGAGGGGCACAGAGGCAGCTAGGAGTCCACATGAGTGTGAGGCCATGGAGGGCAAAGGTGGAGTCCCCTCCAAGGAGGGACTCCTGGACAGCCAACAAGAGGTACTGGGACACACAGGGGTCAGGGCCCTCAGAAACAAGCCTGGGAAAATGCAGAGGGGACCAAAAAGAGATGCCCTAAACAATGTCCTCTGCAGAACCACCTCAAACCACCACCACTGTCACTCCACGAACAAAACTGCTGCCGACGCCCACAGCCAAGCTGAGATCAACAGCTACAGGACCCACTGTGACCCAGGCCGTGACCCAGCCCACAGCACCCTCCCCAGGCCTGGCCACAAAGTCCACAGCTCAGTCCACGGCACGCACAACAGAGGCACCACCAGCCCCACCAGTGGCAGGAACCACCCCAAGCCCAGGTGAGTCAGGGGCCCCATGCGATGCTGGACTCCTAAGGCACATGCCCCAGCTCTGGTCCAGGGCATGCAGGTTCAGCCACAAAAAAGGCCCTGAGATTCCCAGAGCACAGTCCAGCAGGAGCAGGGGCTGGTCATGGTATGCACCCACAGACGCAGGTCTGGGAAAGTTGAGGCCCACCAACCCATCAACCACAGCAGCCCAAATGCACAGGAAAGGTCCACAAGAAAGAGCACAAAGTCAGCAGAGCTGAGAGGACCCCACGTGGGGCCTTTCAGAGACCAAGAGAGAAAAACAGGAAATATCAGAAGCCAAACTGAGGGAGGACAGTGGAATAGAAGACAGGTTAAGGCTGGGAGACGGAAGGGTCCAAACTAACAGCGGCACTGACTCCCAAAGCAGCTCCCACCCACCAGGGAACCCAACACCACGCAACGACCTGGACGAGACAGCACAAAGGAAGACCTACTACCCCTGCCAGCAGAGCTACCCAAACAACACATCCATCTGGCCACACCGCCACGCCCATGGAAACAGCAACAAGGAAAGCAACAACTCCAAGCACGGTGTCCTCGACCAAAACCCAAAAAATCCCGTTTGCCACCATGTCCCCAACCACAGTGTCTGTCCCCAACTCTCAATACACCACAGGGCTCCCCTCCAGAACATCCTTCAAGACCCCCACCAGCCAGCCAACCCCATCACATGCACAGACGTGGAGAGACAGGACGTAGGTCCACTCAGCTGACCAACGAGGGGCACAGAGGCAGCTAGGAGTCCACATGAGTGTGAGGCCATGGAGGGCAAAGGTGGAGTCCCCTCCAAGGAGGGACTCCTGGACAGCCAACAAGAGGTACTGGGACACACAGGGGTCAGGGCCCTCAGAAACAAGCCTGGGAAAATGCAGAGGGGACCAAAAAGAGATGCCCTAAACAATGTCCTCTGCAGAACCACCTCAAACCACCACCACTGTCACTCCACGAACAAAACTGCTGCCGACGCCCACAGCCAAGCTGAGATCAACAGCTACAGGACCCACTGTGACCCAGGCCGTGACCCAGCCCACAGCACCCTCCCCAGGCCTGGCCACAAAGTCCACAGCTCAGTCCACGGCACGCACAACAGAGGCACCACCAGCCCCACCAGTGGCAGGAACCACCCCAAGCCCAGGTGAGTCAGGGGCCCCATGCGATGCTGGACTCCTAAGGCACATGCCCCAGCTCTGGTCCAGGGCATGCAGGTTCAGCCACAAAAAAGGCCCTGAGATTCCCAGAGCACAGTCCAGCAGGAGCAGGGGCTGGTCATGGTATGCACCCACAGACGCAGGTCTGGGAAAGTTGAGGCCCACCAACCCATCAACCACAGCAGCCCAAATGCACAGGAAAGGTCCACAAGAAAGAGCACAAAGTCAGCAGAGCTGAGAGGACCCCACGTGGGGCCTTTCAGAGACCAAGAGAGAAAAACAGGAAATATCAGAAGCCAAACTGAGGGAGGACAGTGGAATAGAAGACAGGTTAAGGCTGGGAGACGGAAGGGTCCAAACTAACAGCGGCACTGACTCCCAAAGCAGCTCCCACCCACCAGGGAACCCAACACCACGCAACGACCTGGACGAGACAGCACAAAGGAAGACCTACTACCCCTGCCAGCAGAGCTACCCAAACAACACATCCATCTGGCCACACCGCCACGCCCATGGAAACAGCAACAAGGAAAGCAACAACTCCAAGCACGGTGTCCTCGACCAAAACCCAAAAAATCCCGTTTGCCACCATGTCCCCAACCACAGTGTCTGTCCCCAACTCTCAATACACCACAGGGCTCCCCTCCAGAACATCCTTCAAGACCCCCACCAGCCAGCCAACCCCATCACATGCACAGACCTCCCTTGCCACTCACGTTCTACCATTTTCTACCTCCTCGGTCACTCCAACTTCTCACACGATCCTCAGGCCCAGCAGCCCAGAGTTGGCCTCTTCCGCCTCCACCCCAACCTCCACCCCAGCATCAACAGGGACCATTCCTTCAACAACAACGTTCATGGGCACAGGACCCACACACACAGCCGAACCAGTGACTCGGACCACCAGTGGGACCAGCCAAGCCCACACGTCAGTCGGCACAGTCACAACCTCAAGTCCCTTGGTGTCTCACCCTTCCTACACACCCCACCATGAGTCCACATCAGCTTCTGCCACCACCGTCACCCCAAAGCCCACCAATACAACTGGGACACCGGTGGTCCACACCACTTCACTCACACCAAGCACTCCCCACACCTCGTTCACCACACACTCCCGACCCACAGGTTCTGTCTCCACCACTCCACACACCACAGGACTTCCCTCTATGACATCCTTCAAGACCACCACCAGCCAGCCAACCCCATCACACGCACAGACCTCCCTTGCCACTCACGTTCCACCATTTTCTACCTCCTCGGTCACTCCAACTTCTCACACGATCCTCAGCCCCAGCAGCCCAGAGTTGGCCTCTTCCGCCTCCACCCCAACCTCCACCCCAGCATCAACAGGGACCATTCCTTCAACAACAACGTTCATGGGCACAGGACCCACACACACAGCCGAACCAGTGACTAGGACCACCAGTGGGACCAGCCAAGCCCACATGTCAGTCGGCACAGTCACAACCTCAAGTCCCTTGGTGTCTCACCCTTCCTACACACCCCACCATGAGTCCACATCAGCTA